CAAATACAAGAAAAGAAGTTGCTATAAGAAAGATCATTTACTTAAGCTAGAAAATGCTTGAAGTAAGAATTAGGTTAGAGAGAGATGCGCGCTCTCTGCATGGAGAAGAAACACTTCTATTTATGCCCAGTGCATTAAATGTTCATTTAATGCAATAAGGTAGGGTTAGAGAGTGTGTCAAGCCTTGAGTGGAAGACTTGTCCTTTGCCACAGTGAATAGTACAAAAGCACTATTTATAAGCAGACATCCTTATCTAAAGTTGGTGGACAAAGAGTCGACTAATCGGCTCCATATCGTACTAACTTTCGTAGGGGAATGGGTTTTGTCCTTTGTGTGCATAAGGACAAGACAACAACAATCGTGCTAAGCAAACTTCTTTTGATCGCTGAATGCTGGAATGACCTGAAGGTCTCATCATCATTCGCTGAAGTTTGAGCAGTCTTCACACATATGTAGACAGACTTGTAATAACTGAATACCGCTTCAAATCACGTACTCGTCAGTCTCTAATCTTCAGTTTCAGTCTTCGACGGTTACTGAAGGTTCTTTGGTGTGAGTATTGTCTTCTTGAAGTATTGTGGTCTCTAATAGATTTACAATGCAAGTTCTTCAGCGATCACTGAACATACTCAATGAAGATCGCTGGAACTGAAAATACAGAAACATAAATACAACGTATAAGTGAAAAGGGATTATCATCAAATCACTGAGAAAGAGGATCAACACTAACCCCTCTTAAGTTTCCACCGCAATACCTAATATCCCGGAGTCTGATCCATTACGGGTTCATCTCCGCAATAGCTTGACCTTAATGCCTACTTAAACACCATAGAGATACATTTAACGTGACTAAAATCGCTCTTTAAAAGTCGTCCTTATCTAGAATTTCCTACAAACATACCCTAAAGCGGGTTTCAAGCCCTTAACCCTGCATTCTAACCTGCTTCGACCACAAATTTGACTTCCAAACGACTTTTTCTTATATCTTAGCATAAGATTCACCCCTTAACATTTTCCAACTATGTAACTAAAAAAAGTATAGTTTAACGTCAAAATATCAAATGGAAAGACACCAAATGACCAAAATTTCCTGGGTGTTGCATTTATCTTCATTTTTTGTGTTTTTGTGGTGGATTGGAGTTAAAAACACCTCTAATTTTGTGTTTTCAGTGTTCAATCAGAAACGTCCTAAATGATAACTTTATCTTTAATAATAAACTTCTCCATAT